ATCCGTACGAATTCGATACAGTTCGCATCAATTCGGTACGAATTCGCAAAATAAGGGTAAAACGCGAATTGTTGCATCATTTTTACGCTTAAAAATTGCGATTCGTCAATTCGTCTTTAGACACTTTATCCACACATCTCCGGTTAGCTGCTAGCTGCTTCAGATCAAAATGGTAGAATGGAGAGCGTTCTTCGTCGAAACGGATAATAACATCTTTTTTGATTTTCGCTTATTTTTTCGCAAATTTATTAACATTTTTCAATAGCTTTCGCATCTCTCATTTGCATCGAAAATCAAATTGCTTATAATTCTGTCAAAATTCATCCGATAGTCATAAAAGTCTTCTGACACAGATAACTCAACCTCTTCTACAAAACTGGTAAGCTCTAAATCGACTTTTATCTAAAAATGGATTGGATCTAGAGATTTCGTTTTCTACAAACAAGTCATCTAAGGTTTATGGGCAGTCCCTATTATATTATGATGGACATGTATGTCTCTACATGTCTTTTGTGTAATACGAGATGATTCATTTGGAAACATTTCTTCGTGAATTATGATTGACTAGTTTTAAAAATCGATTGTTATTTCAAATAATGCTTGTTTTTGACAAGTAACAGCTAACCAAATAACTCGTTGTTGATTGTATGCAAAGCAATCGATCAACTTCGCTAATGCTTCAATTTGAACAACAGTAATCCAGTTTTCCACACGTTGAAATTGTTTTTTTCCTGAACAAGTCCATGTTTTTGCGCAAGAACTTCATGGTTTTTCATCAAGAAATCCATGTTTCTACACTAGAACTTCATGGTTTTTCATGAAGCAATCCATATTTCTCCACAAGAACTTCACTTATTTTTCTCACGCAGTCCTTGTTTCTCCACAAGAACTGTATGTTTGTTCACAAGAAGTTCATGTGTTTCCTGAAGAAATCTATCTTTCTTCTCAAGAACAAAATGTGTTCTCCTGAGATAATCCATGTTTCTTCACAGAACTTCATGTGTTTCCTGAAGAAATCCATGTTTCTTCTCAACAAGAAAATTATGATATTTACGTAGTTTGATTAGAAATTCACAAGTAAAATAAGTAGTTCAGAATGACGAGTAATACACGAGTTATTACAGAATTTAATTCGAGCATCCACCATTTCTCTATGAAGAACAACGTATATTGCGATTGATTTAAATCAGTTAGGTACATGCGCAATTCAGCATTCGAATGATATATTATGAGTATGCTAGTAGTAGTAAACTAGTTGCGGGTAATAATTGAATAAGAATATACACTAGCTGTGAAACCGACTGATTTGAGTCACACACTTGCAGAACGAACAACGGTCCCCAGCCACACATAAATACGATGAATTTCACGATGAATATTTTTAACAGATGAACGTCTCGGCCAGAGTACTTCACCACTTGAGGTTGTTCGCTGCCATGATGTACACGATTTGCCGACTTTCCAACAAAGCAGAAAATATCCGTATAGTTTACTGAGATGATACAGACGGGAATACACAACGTGAAGAGCAATGTGTACACTTTCAGCAGCTGGTCATTCTTGTTAGCACGCCCCGTACAAGTGAACGAAGATCGAATGAGGTACGGAAAAGGAAGGACATAACCGAGAGTCCAATGTGTCGCGAGACAAACAATCAGTTATTTGAACGTTTCAGAAAAGTGTTTGCGAGCCGAACAGACGATAGCGAACAGTTGGTTAATTGATGCAACACAATGGACATACATCATTTGACATGATGAACTGTTTAGAAGAAAAGCTTGAAGGCGACATGGAACTGTATTGCTGCTACTGCTGCTATCAAATTTCAGCGACGTAAATGCCAACAACGTTGCTGATAGAAGAGTCGATGCTAGACAAACATTCACCGTCTGTAAATTGAATCTATTCTTGCGCAGTGCACGGTTAGAAAGCATAACACTGACATACACCAATGTAGCCAAGATGTTGAGAGAATGTAGTACGCTATCTAAAATGTTGAAAATAAACGATAGACACTCGTACCTCTCAGAGCTCACCATTCTTTGTGAAACGGGTTATGTCAGAAAGAAGACGGAAACGTGTGATACATCAGAAAGAGGATTGAACACACACTGCATCATTTTTGAGAATAAACGTCAATTATGCCTAATCTGTCTCATTATCCTATCCCTGGCATTTATGGAATTGCGTTTCTGAGAGTGCATGCGACGGATACATCGGATCGGAGGTGAAAAAATTGAAGAAGACATTGACTTAGAAATCAGACACATATTATAACTAACGCCGAAAGTCCTTTGATCGCGTGAATTCGAACAGTGATAAGAAACCACATGTATGCTTCAGACAGTTTCTTTTCCAACGGAACGTTGAATTGAATAATCAGTTAGCATTGGTGAGAGAACAGAATGCGAAATTCTGAGTGGATATTCGTAGATAAGAGGAAATTAGATATCTCCACTCTGTGATTGTAATATAGTCAGGAGTTTTATGTAACTTCTGCTAGTTTTCACAGTTATGAGTTTCGGAAAAGTTAACATTTGGGAGAGTTTGTATTTTCGTCATGGAAAAACGGACGGTTGTTTTCATCACACAAATCGACAAAAAAATATAACATATGTCGCAAGACGTGATACTAGGTGCTCACAGGGATACTTTTCTCACTGATGCTGTGACACATTCATAAAATGCTATTCAAACATATACAACATTCCATAGAAACTTTTTTTGACTGTGTGACGTGTCTTTCTTTTAATAAAATGAAAAGACACTATTGACAAAGCTACAAAAAGATATATTTACCTGTCGTCATTCAAAACAATCCTGTCGTTTATTATAAAAGGAATTCAATTTCGTTGAATTATTACTGTCCGCAAAATTATTTTCCGGTTCTAAGCTAAGAACCAAGAACCGTGGTTTCTTTCGTTTCGGTTTTAACTCGACTACCGGAACCGCAATTCTTTGAAGTATATATCAATAGATGCAGCTCGCTATGTTGATAACGATTATTAAGTTTCCGTGCATTAGTACACTCTAAAAAAAATGCGACTTAAAGGTATGGACACAACAGAGGACCCCCTATGATAGAAGACCCCTCCTGTTACAAGACCCTTCTTGAACTCATAACGCAAAAACCACGTTAGAAGACCCCCTTTTTTTTATCGATTTTTTGACATAAAATATGATGGCTTTTTTATGGCTTCTTTTCAGGGTGGCTTTAGAAGGCTCCCTTCAGAGTTATGAGCGCTAGGACGCGATATAAGACCCGTGTCCTCTATTGTGTCCATTCCTTTAGGATCAAATTAAGGCGCATTAATGTGTCTTATTCTCACAGAATAAGGCACATTAATGAATTTGATCCTACGTCGCATGTTTTTTAGAGTGTACCAGTAATAACAAAGATAGTAAGATAGAAAAATTAAATTTTTTGGCGTCTTCCTGAAAGATTTTACAGCAAAAGTATTACACTTTGTTCAATTTTTTCTCTTTTGTGTGCGTTATTGTCTAAAAACAACTGAAAGCACTCGAACGTGCGTTTCTTGACTTAATAACTCAGGGCTCAGAAGGTTCTCAGAGCACAAAATCTGGACTCACAAAAAATCGCGAGTAAATTGGCGTCATAATAACTGTTAATTAAAACATATGGCAGAATAGTTGACGATGCCTTTAGGAGAAACCCCATTTTTCTCAGTGACTTTCACTTGCTACGTTCTGAAAAAGCTGTCACTTTAGGTTTATACAGCGAATCGTATCAACATGGTTTAAACAAAGAGTAGTCCTTGTCTTTTATTTTAAAGTTCAGACTTTCTTCTACATTAGACTATGTTGAACTCAGAATAAAAAGTTCTGCTAGAAAAGAGAGAAATGCCCTTGATGAAATAAGCATCGTTACAGACGTACCGAAGTTGTTATCCTATGTTCTAGTTGCTTTTGTGAAACTCCTTCTGGCAGAACAATGCTTTTGCAACTTTTATGAAACAGATGCACACTATTTTAGGAACTAAATCAGAAATTTGCCCCGGGAGTGAGCGGTAACAGAAAAACATTAGCTTGTCTCAAGTGCTGCTGAAAGGGAGTGTGAAAAATAGTGAAATACTAAATCATCAAAGAAGCCAACTCGTTCAGAAAATCTTAACCATTAAGTGCTTTCATAGGCGGGGAAGTTTCGAATTAAATTTTATCCTGCCATACATAACTCTTGAAAATTGGGATTTAAATGATGTTTTATACTTCTTTTGTATTTCTTAAGTGGAACCACCATAAAGCGCTAGAAAAAAGTTTTTCGATAAAAGAGAAAGAAGATTGAACACAACTTTAATATACGATGAATAATCAGTGCAGGAAGAGTAGAATGAACACGTCCCGTTCATTAGACGACTGATGACTCTCGAGATCAGACGTTGTCCGAACAAGTAAGTTGCCTGTTCAGGCAATATTGTCTGATCGGCGGGCAACTGACAACGGACTGACGGTGATTCAACTCGCAAATATTTTGATTATCGTTCAACACTCTGTTATACTGTTGTGAATAATCAAGTACAATGTATCGAGTTATTGATAGAACATAAAGCAGATCTCTGTCATTTAAGGTTTATAGAAGAGAAATCTTTATAACGAAACCCGTAGTGCACATTTGCTTGTTTTAGGCCGTGAGATTTGAATGTCCTATGTTTAACTGTTGATTGTCGTCACTCATGTATTGTAGAACACTTACTCAGGAACCATTTTATCAATAGAAAGATCACTGATAAAACCAATGCTACTGATTCTTACTTTAATTCATTGATATCCACACACGTACATAAACAAAAATTTTTAGAGATCAAATGAGCGACTAATTTAGTAATTTGATCTAAATCTTCTGTATACCATTTACTATCGTACACTACAATAGCGTGATCTAGCCTGCTTAAAATACATGCTTTAAAAATGAATAGAGGGATCTTTATTGGAGGCTCCCGGAGCATTCTAAACATTGCACTTAATCGTCTTCTACATCTGAGGATTGTCTTTAACGTACTTATCTCGCTACATATTAGACATTAATTTTACTCCTAAAGTACTACTGATTTTTCCCGTTTTATGATCGAGTTATTGATCGAAAAGCTCAGATGATTTGATTTAAGCGTAAAAAAGAAACTTCAATAGAGTGCATACTTAACGTTTCTCCCTGAGCTCTTCAAACAGGAATAAATAAGAGTCTGAAAATTTATGCATAATTAGTGCTTCAAGCGTAGTGGTACAATTACATTCAACATTTCATGGCTTTTTTTCAGTTTGCTTTCGGATTGCTAGAGAAATTTTTCTTTTCCGTTTTATATTTTTGACTTCCCTTATCTGTTAAATGTTCAACACTAATAAAACTGAAAAATGTAATAAGAGTACACTGTCATTACCATTCTTTCTTTTTCTATTTTTTAAGGTAGCGATAGTAATCAATTTGTTGTATACGCTTTCGCCAGTGTCTATTTACTTGTCCTTGGTCAACCTTTTATTTCCATTGATAGAGAAAATAACTTAGAAAACGTGTCATCATCATTTTTAGAAATGAAAACAGAAGAGCACAACGAAGGACCATCGTTCTCTTTTGAAAACGTTTTTACTTATTTTAAAATGAGGACAACTTTCTACTTTAATAAAAAAAAACATTTTTCATCCTAGAGAAAGTGGAGAAAAGAACTGATAGCTACAAGCTATAGCATTAATAAAAATTCATAAGAACTACTTGACAAATTACCAACTACAATAACTATCAGAATTCGGTAAGCTAAGCAGAAACTGGAAATCTTCTATAATTCTCGAATGAAAACGCATCCAGAGCTCTGCAACGCCTCATATCAAAGAGAAAAGTGTGCTGAATATTCTGAGACTTTTCGCACATTCTACATATTCTCTAGTTTTGAAAATATGGCAAAAATACAAACTGCTACATTTTTGCTACTTTTTGGGATCAGTTTGTATTTTTGCCATATTTTTGAGAATATGTAGAATGTGCGAAAGTCTCAGAATATTCGACACATTTCTCTTTGATATGGACGAATCATTAGAACTTTTTTAATTAATTCAAACTAATTTAAAAAAGTATCATATTAAATTCAGGTTTGGACTCAATTGAGATACAGTCCATATTTTAATCAAGTATCTCAGTTGAGAAACCAATATATATGCTAAAATATTCGTTTCTCAACTGAGATACAATTTCGACACATGCGTTGAAACGGGCTGTTATGCAAGAGTGCATTGTACTAAGGTCTATTATTCAATAGTGAATGAAATGAAATTAGGTATATGATGTATCTCTATTGACTTTTTGAGGAATTATTGCCACATTAAATGGTCAAATGTTGTGGATTTTCATGTCCATAGAGACTACTTTACACATTAGTTTATTGTTTTTTAAAACAAATGAAGAAGAACAAGCGTTAACTTTAATCTTTGACTTTCACTTTTATTTGTACGTTGGTGAAAAAGATTTTCTTGAAACAATATGGAAGGAGCGCCTCTTTCAGTTTCTTTTTGAACAAAATCCATTTCTTTTTGAAATATGTCTTATCACTGTTTCACATTTATATAACTATTAAAGAATAGACCTTAGTACACTACACTTTCGCACAATAGCACGTTTTAACGCATGTGTCAAAATTGTATCTCAGTTGAGAAATTCGTGAAGACAATATTTTATAAAATGTATCTCAGTTGGGAAACGAATATTTTTGCAGAAATATTGGTTTCTCAACTGAGATTTTCTCATCTGAGATACTTAATTAAAATATGGATTGTATCTCAGTCGGTACGTTACGTAAATTCATTTAAATTCACTTTTTTGCAATTTTTGAATTGATTTAACTTGACAAACTAATGCAAATCAGTTGAATTTTAATCAGTGTGAATTAGTTTATCGAGTTTATTCAATTCAAATTAATCTTTAATCGGAAAAAAAATTAATTAACGTTTTAAAATAGCTTAAATCTTTTTAAGCCATTATCATGTGTTTTGAGTGAGTAACGAATTTTCCAATATTAGATGAAAACAGTCTAGAAATCAGATTTTTCGTAGAATTTGATTCATCAACGTTTTTGAACCTTTTTCCAAAAGCAAACATTGCCAATAGATTTAGTGCGGCCCATTAGTTATGTTCCATGCGGCATATCACCGAAACGAAAAAATAAAGTTGCTTTTGAGCTGATAAAAAGTGCTTTTTCGTAGCCAGCACCCTTGATAACCCCGAAGATTTTCTATTTTTGGCGAGGAGTACTTCCAAAAGTTTAAGAAAATTTTTGAAATAAAATTGTGCAAAAAATATTTCATGAGAAAATAATATTAGTTTCAAATTTTTCCTAAACTTTTGGAAGTACACCTCGCCAAAAATAGAAAATCTTCTGGGTTATCGAGTGTAGTGAATACGAAAAAGCACTTTTCAGCAATACAAAACCAACTTTATTTTTTGTCCAGTGATATGTTTCCAGATTACTCCAAGTCACTGGATGGGAATCGGATACCATGCTTGAACTACTGAAAATTAAAATTGCTCTTAACTCTCATTTTGATTAAGACATTTCGGGCTATTTAATCCTGAAAGATAATGAACAGATTTCTGTCGAAGATGATTAAGACAATATCTGATTTTCCAAAGGCCCCCTAGAAACGCACTTAAAAAGCATATTTTGTAAAACCTTTTGGCTTATGACAATATGGTCTCAAGTCTGCTCTTCTGAATGTCGAAAACCACAGTTCTCAGTTATCTTTCGTTCAATAGTTATGCAAAAAGCAGCTACGTCTATTGCTTTCTGCTAGTTGGATAGTACTGTGCACTTTAAATTAAAAGTTATACTACTGGCTTTATAATTACGTTGCATAAAGAGAATAGAGAGCTCCGATTTTTGTCATTTGATAGTACGGACAGGAGCGCATTATTATCAGACAAGATTTTAAAATTTTTCGTGAACGTTTCGTGATTTTAAGAAAAAAAAACAGATTGATATCTGAAATTTGCTAACAAAATAGTTTTTCATGAATAATAGAAGGCACAAACTGCCTCTGAATCAGATAAGATTATCATCTCTAATGGTTTGGCAATGACATTGAACGAATATCCGACAGTGGCGGATCTAGAAAAGTTTTTTTGGTAGTGGTTTGATTGAAGTCTACAACTCTACAGCATATTTTCGAAAAAAACAGGTTTCACGACCCTTTTTAACTTTTATCGAAATATAACGCTACTATGAGACTTGACATGATCGATTTTATGTGCTCTAGTCGAAACAATTAAATGTTACCAGATCATTATTTCGATGCCACGTGCGAATCATCAGAGATAACAGCTCCAATTGATTCTTAGAACTATCTACGGTCAATACTTCTCAAGAAAAATGAACATGTTTGTAACTAAATATTGCACCAGACACCGACTCTATTCACTTTTCTATATCTAATATAAAATGATATTTTTTTATGCGTTAAAAATTTGTGTAAGAAAGACATTAGTCTTTTTTTCCTTTTTATCAAAGTTCAAATAAAGAAAAACAGACCTTTTTTATGAAAGCAAAAAAAGACAGTCAGACAATAAATACTAGAAGAACAATGCTTACAAGAGAGAAAAATCCAATGTCATAGCGGAACGTATACACGATCCATACCCTAGATATGGATAGACGAAGTAAATACAGTAGCATAATAGACAGTTGGCAAGCAGTATTGCTATACGTGACACGATCTTCCAATGGGATGTTGAAAAAGCATATGTACTAGTTAATTCCTGGAGTATTCAGTGTATCGTTACTATTCTTGTCGATATGGCATATCTAGTGTATTTTCTATCCAAGATTAATGAAGTTTCGCATATGTAAAAGAACATATGCGAATCAAACTGACGAGGAAAGTACTCCAAGTTGCAAATCGTTTTTTCAATGAGACTAGATGGACTATATGTAATTGATGGCGCTGATTCCAAATAAGAACATCGAAGTTGCCCTTGGGCTTTCGTTGACCGGTTTTCTGAAAACTGGGTCTTCAGAAAACCACGAACAAAGTCCATAAAACTTTTCTGAATCAGCCGTTTTGTAGAGGACACAAAACTGTCTACATTCCATAAGTTTTAGTTTTTAAAAATATCACTGAACGGTGCTATGATTTTTGTAAAGTATCCTATTGCAACATTTTTCCATCAAAACTAGCGTAGCCACTCTTTTAGGAAATTTTCTTACGTTGTTCATTTTTTTTTGAATAATTAAAATTTGTGAAATATAGACAGTTTTGTATTCTCTACAAAATGACTGATTCAGAAAAATTTTATGGATTTGGTTCATGGTTTTCTGAAGATCGAGTTTTCAAAAAAACCGGTCAACGAAAGCCCAAGGACAACTTCGATGTTCATATTCGGAATCAGCGCCATCAATTACATATAGTCCACCTAGTCTCATTGAAAAAACGATTTGTAACTTGGGGTACTTCCCTCGTGCGAAGTATCTTTGCCAGTTTGAACGAGAGCTAGTAACCGAACAGTAAGTAAAACGAGAGCTGTTCAAACGCATAGATTGTCGAATGCAATATTTCAGTAGCCATCTCTTTGCAATCTAAGAACCAGAGTTCTGTTTGGAATAAGTACACGGAAGAAACTACCTTATTAACAACGGTTCATATGGTTTACTCTCAGTTCGTTCCAAATTTACTTTTCAATTCGTCCCGTGATGCTTTTTTTCTCAGTTCGTTCCATCAACACTTCACTCTCGATTCTTCCCATATTAGTTTACACTTAATTAGCTTTAGTATTGCAGATTCAACTAAATGAATATATTTCATAAACAAACTAGCGCAATAATCACAAGCGATTTTGAAAGACAGGTCTGGATTCGTCTTCACATATATATGCATATTTATTATCAGCAGAAAACAGGCGATATACCTGGACGAGTGAGATGTTTTCTCGTAACTCACTCTCATACTACTACAGTCCCCTCTCTCCCGCTCACATCTGAAATGATGCAAACATTCTGAATCAGAAGTAACTATGAGTGATTTTCCTAGTTTAGTGGCAAAATTATGGATTCACCTCTCAACATACCTGTTTATGAAGAATCAATGCTATCCATTCGAAGTCCGACACTATCATCAAAATTACGGCTGATGAAATCGGCCGGAAAAAGGTATGTCTGAGAACTGTCTAGAGAAAGAGAACCATGATGAAATTGATAAGTTATTTCATATAGAATAGATCCTAATACAAATGAGCGCTGTCTTTTGTTGCATGCAAGAAAAATTTCTCATACGTATTTGATGAAACCGGTTCGCTTTGAAAAAAATTTTCTAGTCATTTTCGAGAAAAACAGTGAGAATATTTTTGTTTGCCTGTGGAAGAACTGCTATTTTATAAGTTACAATGTCTTCCGCACGAACAATGCTATTGATGTTATTGAATCATACAAGGTATTGTGCTCAATACCACCAGATCTATCACAGTAAAAGACAAATTATTCGATCTTTTAAATTACTACCATCTTGATCTGTAGTTCTTTTGTTTTTATTTATTTAAGAACAATTGACGGTGAAATAAAATGGAAATCTGGTGTATTAGACCGAAAATATGAGTGTCCATCATGTAACGGTTATTTGAGATTTCCCATTCAATTCGAAGATTGTGGACATTTTGTTTGTTCAGGTTGTTTGCCGGATATATTACGGTATAATCATTGTTCAGTTGTATATTCTACCGTTTTAATAACTATGTTTTGTCTAGCGTTGCACCACTATGTCCCAAATGTCAACAACCCGTTTTGCATGATAAACATATTCAAGAGAAGAACTTACAAAAAAGCATTCAAAATTTGGAAATATATTGTTCAAATAAAGATAAGGGATGTGATTGGGAAGGGATATTAAGAGATAATATTGTAAGATTATGAAGACAACTCATTTCATTAACATAGATTATATTGGTGTTTAGACTCATTCTGAATCATGCAGTTATAGTCAAATCGAATGTCAAAATGGTTGTGGTATCAAATTTGAAAAACGATTTTTCGAAAGGCATAACGTAGAAGATTGTCCAAAACGTAGCATTACGTGCGAATTTTGTAAGAACTGAGAAAAGTTGCTGATAAAAGTTGTACAAATGAAAGAAACATATTTTAGGTCAAACAACTATTTTGCATGAAGAAGAAATTTTACATTTGAATGTGTGCACAGAATTTCGCGTACCATGTCCAAATCATTGTACACAACAAGATATACCACGAGGACAAGTGAGACGAGAATATTATTAAAGGATAATTTTAACTTTTATATCTGCTTTTAGATGCAAAATCATCTTGATAATGAATGTCTGAAACAAGAACTATCCTGCCCATTTGCAGATTGTGGTTGTGAATTCAAGGTAAACGACAATAATTTTAGGCTTAAATATTATAAAACATGGCTAGTATCTTCATAGCGAAGACAACTGTTTTAATCAGAGTTACAATTTTCATTCAAGAAAAATGAACTTTAATTGGATGAAATTTTAACAAAAAATATGTATAATCTTATTGTCTTTCAAAAAAAAGTGATATGATCCAGAAGGTTCAGGTTATCAATAATTGAGACAGATCAAGGTAATCTTGCAATGAATCCTCTTGTATGAGTATGTCCAGTAGAATGTTAGTCTTCGTTCATCCACGTATTATATCTGCAGAGAGCTATTATAACTGTATCACCTAGTAAATATCAATATGTATATCCTTAACAAAAGCTAAGGCTTTCATCAAGCTAAGTGATGACAGATAAGTCGAGCGATGTTCTTTCTTTCATCTGTTACGACTGAGCCCTAATTTAATTCTTTATTTTTCAGGCTGAACGCATGTTGATCACTAAACATATTAAAGAGTCACCGGGAATCCATTTGAATATGACAGGTAAAACAATATCGATACAGAAGAAATTGTTACAAGTTCATGATGAACGGATGCAAGAGCAAAAGAAATGGATTGAACTCTTAGCCAAGAAAGCGAATGCATCAGAAAAATCTTGTGGAAGTCAACTAATATGGAAAATTGATAGTTATCAAGTAAGATTGACATTAAATCATATAGATTCTTGGACAATTCATCTCTTTTTAAAGGAAAAACTGATGGAAGCTAAAAGTGGTAAAAAACCCACAATATTCAGTCCACCATTTCTGACAAGTAGACACGGTTATAAATTGGCTTGTTCTGCTTGTCTATATGGGGACGGAAAGGGTAAGATTATTCTATCCTTTATCTTATACTGGAATCTATCAATCGTATACGTTTAGCAAAAGGCAAATATTTATCATTATTTATTTGTGTATGTCGTGGGGAATATGATTCATTATTAGTATGGCCATTTTCTCATCGTGTCAAACTCAGTTTATTGGACCAGTGCGAAGATCCAGATAATTGTCGACACATTAACTATTTTGTTAAACCAAATATATGCAAAGAAAATAAACCGTTTCTCGGTAGACCAATGTACGTAGTTTTATTATTCTATACTCTAGTAAAAGGACTAAATCCAAAGTACCTGAATAAGTCACTGCAGGCGATACTCATTCAGAGTACTGATGGCAGTTTTTTGGTGAAAGTATAGTTCTAAAGATCTAAGTATACTGATTAGGAACTAAATTATTGACAAAATGTTCACGAATACAGCTGTTTTTAATTTTAATATGATTTGTTTTTTGAATACTCTTCAACAGCAACTAACTATGTAAACGAAAGAAAAAATACTAATAAATGAAAAAACTTGTATACAGTGTAGATTAGAAAAACAATGCTCAAAAAAATTATCAACCAACATCTCTAAACAATATAAACAGACAAAAAACTGGTTGACTTATTCACAAGGTCCACTAACTAGATCTAAAACTGATATACTACCATCAGATATAAAACAGATTGATCAGGACGACATCTTGATGAGATACATGCCACAAAAACAACATTTAAAAATAAAAAAAACATCAACAGCTAAAAATAAATCACAGCATTATGATTAGGACTAGAAATGATGGAAGACTAATACCACCAAAAAAAGTTCTCCATAATAATGTCGAGAATTTTTCATGTATGTGTATATATAAAAAGTGTTTGGAATATGTTTCAAAACGGTTTTCTTTTCTATCTTATCGTACGTGTATGAAAGACCGAATCGAGTCAAACTCATATGATCCAAACCCGAACCGAACTTTTTTTCCCTGTTCCGACTGAATCCCGAAAATATTTTTTCCTACCCCAAAAAATGTTTAGATTTTTTGCAGAAAAACACGTGAGAAATTAAAAGTTTTTTACGGAGACCCAAACGAGATTCGAAATATGTTTTTATTTGATTCGAACACGACTCGTATCGGTCTCTGGCGTGTATGAGTAATTTGTGTCAAAGTGTATTTTCCATTTCGTTTATATAGTCAGTTACTGTTGAAAATGACGAGTTAAAAGTCGAAAAATCAACCATGTTAAAATTCAAAACACCTGCTAAATTAATTATATTTCTAATTTCAAAATTGTTACTCTCACAGTTAAATATATGAAAATACCCAAAGTAAAAATGTTTAGTTAATGGTATACGGGGAATAAGTTCATCAATAAGTTCAATAAGTTTATAGACGGGTATCTAAAAAGTATCTTAAGATATCTAATTATCCAGAAGTTTCTTGGATACTTGTAGCAGGATATCTTAAAGACAGCGTATTTATAGATCTTTATATATTTGTGTTTTAGTGGTGAACGGAATGCTAGTTTTGGTGCGCAAAAATTCACAGATTTGGAGACATTATCAACGTTGGATTACATTAAAGATAATACAATTTATATTAAAGTTGAAATTGATAATGAGGATATGATTATCATTTGAAGAATGATATAGATAATACAGAAATAAACGATATTCTTGTCCGTGTTGTTTTGTCATGTGTTTATTTCTGATAATATTTAATTAATTATAATAAATTAGTTAATACTTAGATATTAAAAAATGAATTACCGCAGAGTTTTTGTTAAAAAGAAAGTCCTTGTTTTACTGTGTTTGTAAATTTTTATAATATGAAAGTGGCAAACCGTACAATTCTTTCAAGTGTCAAGCAATACAATTTCAAAAAATGATAAGTGTAACAAGAGTACATTGCCATTAGAATTCTTTCTTTCTATATTTATTAAGATAGTGATCATAATAAATTTATTGTAAACGCTTTCGCCAATGTCTATTTACTTGTCCTTGGTCAATCTTTTATTTCCGTAGAGAAAATAAATTAGAAAACGTGTCATCACCGTTTTTAGAAATGAGAAAAGAAGGGAACGAAGAAGGACCATCTTTCTCTTTTGAAAACGTTTTTTTACTTATTTTAAAATGAGGACAACTTTCTACTTTAATAAAAAAAGTATTTTTCATCCTAGAAAAAGCAAAGAAAAGAACTGACAGCTACAAGTTATAACATGAACACAAAACAGCTACTTCAAAAATTACCAACTGCAATAACTATCAGAGTTCATAAAGCTAAGGAGAAAGTGAAAATAAACTATCGACTTGGCCACATAACTCTGCTATCAAACTGTAATCCCGTCACTTTTCTTTTGAATTTTGTTTATTCTATAATTCTCGAATGAAAACGCATCCAGAGCTCTGCGACGTCTCATATCAAAGAGAAAAGTGTGCTGAATATTCTGAAACTTTCGTACATTCTCTTGTTTAGAAAATATGGCGAAAATAGAAATTGCTACTTTTTTGGATAAGTTTTGAAATTTCAAGATCTTGAGTGGTGTAAGCCAAGATGTTTCAAGATCTTGGATTCTTGAATCTGTCAATCAAGATGTTGGCCAAGATCTTGGGAGTAAAAACTTCAAGACCTTGAGTGAATCCACTCAAGATATTGCAGGAGCTTGAGTAACAAATTTTCTTTACATTTTGTTTTTATTTATGACAGTCGTAGTTATTGGATATACGACCGTATAAAGTCGTAGAGTCTTCCTTAAACAACTATGGTCAAGAAGGAAAAAAATTCTGAGTTATTTTAAGTGTGAAAATATTTGCACTTCTATGTACACAAAAGTGTAAAATAAAACGATGATTCAAAAATTTCCAAGTCTCAGAATATCCAGCACACTTTTCACTTTAATACGGAGGTTGCAAACATTGTTTGAATTCGTTTGCCGATAAGATTTCTCTTTTTATTTCTTCCAAGGAAATGTTTTGCTTAACTAAAAAAGAAGAAAATTTGAAAAAGTATACATTTTTATTGAATTACGCAATGCAAAGTAATAACGCAAGTGACACAATTCTCCACAAA